AACAAGAAAGTAAACAATCCAGCCTGCAGTATCGTAATCCCAAGTTTGACGACATCTCTTTTTACAGTTGAGAAGCGCGCACTAGTGATTATATTATCAGAAACCTCGTCTGATGGTATTTCAACATACTTTTTTCGATTGTGAATAGTTTGTAAAATTAATAATATGCTACTAACTGTTACAACAATTATCGAAGGAATGGTATCCACTAAAGACATTTTTTTTTTTAGTATAATTTCATGAAAGCACCGAAATTTAAATGTAATCCTGTACAACCATTCAAATTTTATGCTCATTGTCGTTTATCTTTACTGCTTGCATTGCATCTTAGTACTACATGAACATGTGTATTATTAGTAATAGGTTGTAAAGTCGCGACTAACGTCAAATTTTAACCAAGATTTATTTGGAGATTCGGCTTAGCAATTTCACAGGATCAGAGGATAATCGCTTCACATGCGTGGAAGTACTTTTATTTTATTGGTTGATTTGAATAAATGGCCATATTTTAATTGTTCCCAGTACAGTCAGGGATTTTACTCAATATAGAAATTGATTGCAATATATTCCCGAACCTTTTGAAAAAAGGCGGTTTTTTTTATTTATTAAAAAGATTTTTAAGGGGCAGTCCGCAGTTGAAGAGCCAAAATTTCATAGTAAAAAATAGGCGCAGTTTTACTATCTGCCCTATATAGAAGTGGAATGTCGATATATAGGAAAAACTCTATAGTAAAAAAATTTACCCGATTTTGATAATTTTATCATCATTAGAATCAGAAGTTAACTCTACAACTTTGATTAGAAGTCAAAAGAAGGTTTGCTTAACAAAAAAAAATACTTTTATATGTAGAGAACCCTTATTTTTGTATAATATAAAATATGTAGTACTTTAAATTTTAATTTTATTTATTATAAAATTTGCAATTTTTTTAGCCCTAAAAAAATGAATTACCTTGCTATGGTAGTCTAGGGATCCCCTGGGCTTTAAAAGACGGCTGTGCACCAAATAAAAATACAGATATTGATTGGCGCAAATTTTGCTTCATAGAATTAAAAAGAATTTTCCAATTGTAGATTTTTTTCCAAAAATTCCTGATTGTAGTATCCGCAGAACTCCGGATGTAACGTTTCACTACATGATGAATAATCTTTTCTAGCTAGCGCTCAAATTATCTTTACTGCGTAAAATGGTACTAAGCTCAAATTAGTACCGGTACGTATTAGAGTTTGAATGCAAATCCGGTTTGCATCAGAGTTATTAAAAAATTAACTTTCTTTAATAGAAAACAAGCAAATCGCGGTAATTCTATTAATCATTAACAACCTAAATGGTCTATTACGTATACGGTAATGAAAAGCGTATACGTACATATGTATGAACATAGAATTCTTTTTTTGTAATAGAAGTTCTCTGCTATATCCATTTTGTAAGTTCTTTTATATTAAATCCGTGTTTTTAATCTTTATGAGACACTATCGCTACTGGTGCTGGTCAAAAATTATCAAAAATGTAATTTGTCGCCAAACTTCCAAACTTCGGCCAAATTCATATCGTCAGTATTGGCAATTGGACTAATTGGACATAATAAAATTTTTATTGGACATATGTCCAATTGGTCCAATTTAGTGTTGTTAATCGATCGACTAATAGTCGACCGACTGATTCATCGGCTAAGTCGTCGGCTTAGTCGACTAAGTCATTAAGGGGTATTGTTACTCGATTGGATAAAACATGAATTATTACTGCTTTGCTAATAATGAACTCATGCGTATTTATTACTTTTTCTACGTAAACAATAAGCAAATTATCGAATAAAAATCTTAAAAAAGGCAATAGTCGAACTTTGACCAATAAATTTTCAGTTTGTCGACTAAGTTGACTAGCCCCTAATCGGCTTACAACACTAGTCCAATTACCACTACGTACGGTTAATAACAGGACAGAACGTCCCGAATATGGAAACGATGGTTACACAAGACTTCCGGCCTTGCATATCAGCACGACCAATCAAAATAGCGAAATTGATATTAAGCGAAATCAGTCTTTTTATTATTAATACTGTATAAAATATAATTATGCGATATTTAATAAATTT